TCCTAATATGCTTTTACTGCTAAATGGAATTCAAACTCTGATTCATATATTTAAGCAATTTCCTTTTTATATCTTGATGCATTGTCTAATCTATTCTCATTTGCATAATGTTCTATTGCTTTCTCATACAATTATATTGATTCTATACTCAAAATTATATTAATATACCTGCTTTATTTACATTACTTATTGCTTTAGCTGCTTCAACATAAAAATCACCAGTTTCTCCAGATTTTAGAGTTTAATCACAAGTTATACAACGTTAATATGCTTCACATGCTTTTTCCCATTTTTTGCCCAATTTATATTGTGTAGCTGCTGACTTATACAATTCAAGAGCCTTTTCTGCTCTTTCTCCTTTTGATCCAAAAATATTCCCAAAAGTTGAACCTTTTATTTATATTTATAGCTACCTTTAAGGGCTTTATCACCTTTCATCATAAATTCATCTCCTTTTAAAACATAATTAGAATCCATATATATTTAAATGAAATAATAATGGAATGATATTAACGAAGATGTTAACATGATAACCATACTAAAATCAAAATTTAAACAGACCAGTCCTACTTAAATCTGTATCGACATTTTATACTAATGAGATTACTAGTCATATGATCATGAAGGATTGTTGCTTAAAGACAATATAGTATACAGAGGAATACTTCGTAATTACACTTTTATTTTATAAAGAAAAGATAAAAGTGAATTCATACTAGACTTTAATCAATATCCTATTAGTAATACTTATTTTTATATTTTAGAATTATCCATACTTTCCAATGATGTCTTTTAATTATCGGTTTTTAGTTATTAGTTTTAGTTCTAATCTCTCACCAATAGTAAATAATGGATTCTCTCACTCAATTACTATATTAATACATCCAAACCTTACTGTTTTCAATCACCTTTACCTAATTTCTTCCTTTAACATAAAATTCCTTTTGATATTTTTGAAAAGAGAGCAGAATCCTTAGATTTATTGCTTTTTAAAAATAAATCTATAGCTTGCTAACTCTAAAGATTGATAACTAATAGTGAATATGGTAAACAACTATAATATTATTTAGATCATGTTGCTCTTCTTTTAAGAAATAATAAAAACGTTCTTCATGTATTTGAAGCAAACAGTGACGATGGCGTTTGTATATATACTTGGGATGCTCTGATGCAGAGTAATTTTTAAGATTACGTAACACAAATTAGTTTTAGATAATTATACATTAAAAGGGATATGACATTGTTATTAAAATTATAAGACTTCGTTTATAAGAATCATGGCAAAAAATATTCAGTTAACATAATGAAGCTTTGTAAAAAAAGATCAATTACAGGAGTTGAGAAGGAAAACTATTTTTGTTCAGAATTAGTAGCTGCATGTTATAAACATATAGGAATCATGGAAAATGATATATCATCTTGTTAATTTTGGCCCAGTATTTAACATATTTTATTAATTTAGAGGATTTTGCAGGTAATATGAAATTAACTAATGCTTAATTAAGTCACGAGATTATAATATATTAATGATTTTCACACTATTATTTGAAAAACCATATTAATTTATCACAAAATAATTAAATGTCTTATGTTTTTTCTAATTAATAAAGTATTTTATAAACAAGTTATTAAAAATTCTAATTTTTAATTCTTAAAGTATTATAATAACATTTAAAATCATAATACTATTGATATATATCTGATAGTGTAATAATTCAATAAGATTTAACAATTTCTGTCAACTTGATTTATAAATAATTCTATCTGAAAATAAGAATTCTATAAGAGATTAAATTTTAACATTAAATTTTAGAAATATGAATTTCTACAATTTAAGAGACTTTTTATAATTAAATATATTATGAAGTCTTGATTTATATTTCATTAACTTTCTGGTTTTTATGCTTTATATATTTATATTCTAAAAGGATTAATAATTTTTAATAAGATAGATTATCATTATTTTTGTGTTAATAAAAATGGAGTAAATGAGCAAGTACACACTTAAATTTAAAGCAAAAGAGATTGAAGAGAAATATTAGGCATAGTCATATTAAAAACATCTAAAACCTTTATTTTATGGTTTGCTTATTATGGCATTGTCTTTGAATACACTTTAACTGGCCATAAATGCATAGAAGGATAATTTAGTGATTCCTTATATTAATATGGGATTTATCATTATATGTCTAATTGGTTTATACGTAATGTACAAAATAGAAGGTTTAACAGCAAAGATTATAACAATTACAAATGCTTATTCTTTGTCATTATAATTCAATTTTTCTTCTGAAACTACTCAAGGATAAGAATACTATTTATATGGTTGTAACTTTTCACTAATATAGGCTGTTATATACTTTTCTACTGATTTTCATTTAAGTTGTCCTTCTCTCTTACTGCATATAATTTTCAGATAAACATCAACAATTTTGTTAACAAATAAAATAGATGTTTAAAGTTTATCGTTGTCTATGGCTACAGCAATATTAATTACATGTGTCCTTTACATGTGTAATAAAGCTTATAGAATACAATTTTTAATGAACTATTAATAAGATACTATTAATAATTAGTTGCATAAATTAATAAATAAACCTTTTTCAAAGATATAATTCAATGAGAAGAAACTATAAATAGATGTTTAAACAACTGCTTTTCATGAATAATTTGAAGATTACAATAATGAATATTGTACTGGATGTAATGTTAGAAGTTTTATTAGAAATTGTATAATAAATAATATGACATTGGAATAAGCATTGATAAGTAGTTAAGTTAAATTTGATGAGAGTTTTGAAGTTAAATTATAAAGAAAAAAAGTTAAGATACGATTATGTTAATATAATATTGATAATAGTATAATATTAATATAAGAAAGTGTTTAAAAAGATCCTATTCAATATAAGAAAGTTTCATAAAATTTATAGTAATCTTTATTCAAATAATTTAATGCAATTAGAAAGACTCCACAAAATTAACAATTTTAGTTTGGAACTTTATCAATTTTAATGTTAAGATAATTTTAAATAAGAACAATTAATATTAGAAAATTGATAAAAAATTTAATGTCTATTTACTTAATATCTAAGAAAATTAAATTAAATTTTAATGGAGATTATACAATAAAAATAAGAACATATGGACACTTAATTAAAATATTCTTAATATAAGTTTTTTATATTCTTTAAGATTTGGAATATTAATAAAATTATTTAGAAGAAATTAGTATATTGAATTTAGAAACATGTGTGTAAATTAAATTAACAATAAATGATTAGTTTCCTTTTTTTCCACTTTATTTGAGAAATTATTTTATTGAATAGACAGCTCCTTATTTGCTTTTAAATCCATTAAATTACAATTTAGAATTTTAATTTAGCAAGATAATACCTTTTAATGATGTCAATTTAGAATATTGATTTATTAGTTAAATATTAAATTAGATATTCATGATTTATATTCCTTATTTTTCTTAATAAAAATCAATATATTTAAAAGTATTCATAATTTTATTATCTATCATATCTCTGTATAATATACAATTTTATTTTATTAATATTAGGTTACTTTAAATTAATAAGAATAAGTTATAATAACTTCTGTAATGTTGATTTAAATTATAAATTAATAATACCTTATTAATTGAAATCTTATCTTATGGTAATTGATTAGAATTTTAATCAATTAAAATTAACTATATGATAATCAACATATTCAATATATGACATTTATTATAAAAATATATTATTTATATATATACAACAAATATAAATTTTAATGTAATATATATCAATTGATGTTTTTTTTAATAGTATGAAATATTTTATATGAATTTTGATAAGAATAGTGAATAATTAATATTTATATATAATATATGAATAATTAACCTGTTTATATGTCGGCTGAGCAAATTAATGCATTATTCCAAAGGGATTCTACTTTTGAAATGAGAGATGATAGAATTAATTCATTTTAGAACGATTTCAAAAAAAATGAAGTATGGGATTTTAAGTTAGTTAAGACTTTGAAGTCTGAAAGTGTTGAATGCGAAGAGAACAGACCAACAAATTAGAGCGAGAGCATGATGATGAGTAAGAATTATTTGGCCTAAGGCTTAAAGTAACTAGGGAGGAGTACCAGAGTTTATAGTAAGAATACGATAGACGTAAAGATATGGAAGAGAAATATAAAGAAGATATAAATAGATTAATGAGGGAACTTAAACAAAAGTGTAGTGAATTGGATTGTATGAAAAGAGAACATGAGATTTATTTGGAACAAAATCAAAGAAGAGAATGTATCCTTTATTAATAAATGAACAGCAACACTTTAGAATCTGAGATAGTAGATTTAAGAAGCCAACAATAGAGAGTAGAAGGCTGTTATTGAATTAGGAGAGTTATATGAATAGAATATGTAAGTGAAACAACAATTAGAGATTGTCTAACAGAAGTATAATAATTTATAGAAGCAACACAAATTTGAAATTGATAGAAAGGATAAACAAATCGATTAATTTAAAATTCAAATTATGCAACTCAATGAGGATAATGAAAGACTTAAGGCAGAACACCCTACAGGATTTCTCAATCTCGATTCTTAGAGAGTATCATAAGATAAAACATAAAATTAATGGGCATAATTTAATTCGAGTGCTTATAAAAGCAGTATTTAATTTTAAAAGGATAAACCAGTAACTCAAATTTAGTTTAAGAGCAATTACGACTCCAAAGTTATTTTCGGAAAGAAGTCTCAAAATACATTAAAATATCAATAGTCACAATAAGATTTGTAGCCTAAATGATTTTGAGTCAAATTATTATATATAAATTTATATTTTAATGGGCTCTCAACAACAATATTTTATATATTACAAAATATATATATTTATATATAATATTTATCTAAAATAATTAAACACATATTCATAAGGAAAATATAATACTTAATTTAGAATTAAATTAAACTCTATTATAAAGCAAACACTTATTTATTATTCAATTTGATTTTTCTTATTTTGGCTTTGTTTCTATTGTTGATATTATTCCAAACTCTACTGAAGAACTTTGTTTTTTTGAATCAAAAGACTCGTCAATCTATTCTGCTATAAAAAAATCAAGTCTATTTGAAAAATATTTAAATGGAAAAGAATTTTCACATTTTTTTTAGAATGCCTTAAATAATCCATCTAATTACAGTTGTTAATCTAAAAGAGAATCCATCACAAAATTAATTTTCTATAAAAGAAAAGATTGTAGCCCCTACTAAATCTAATCTTGGAAATCTAATAAAATTCATTGTCAAAAAGAATAATGCAGGGAAATACTTTTATGGTAAATTAAATGAAAAGCATAAAAATTTCTTTGTTTCTTCTTCATCATTTAATGCTCTAAATTGATTTTATTCCATAATACCTTCTCATCTAATAGATGAATGAAAGATTCCAAAACCCAAATGAATTTGCAATAAGCATTTCTTCATCCAAATAAGAAAATCCAAAACAAAATGATAGAAATATGATCTATTTATAAATCAATTACTTATGTACTTAAATGATAAGATTTTTGATAAATAAATCAAAAAAAAATTGGACAGAACCAACTTTTTTTTCTGTTTATATAGCGAAACACATAAATCCCAATAAACTGACAGAAAGGTTTAATAAATTACCTTATATTATTATATTGATAAATTACCATGAAAAAATTAAGGAATGAGTATCCTCCAAATTTCATATTAAAAAATAGTTTTCTTTGGTATATTCATAAATAATGTAAAATAGTATTCCTAATAATAGTAGTCTAATATATAACAAATTAAGCTTATAAACAAAACAAACTTAGTTCCAAAGGATATATTATTCCATATAGTTTTTAAATTATCTCTTAAAGTCATTTTATATATTATAATAATAATTATATATAATTTTATTACTCATTATGGGTATTTGATACTAAATGCGTATATGTCAAGAATATCACATAATTAATACACTATACTTGTTACACAATGTAGATATGATAAAAATGAGAATACTAATAAGGCAAAGATCAATTTGACCTCATCAATATAACAAAGACCATCATGAGTATAAAATTAGCTAATCAAATTCAACATAATTGATCCTAATGTCATAGCCCAAGTGAATGAAAATTAACTGAAATTCTATTATAATTTATTAATTATAATTACTTCTTTAGTAATGATTGCTAATTACCATAAATTAATCATCTTTGACCATTATAATCCAATAGTTAAAACATAAATGTGGAACCATTTTGATAAAATATTAGTTGGTGATAAATATGTTAAACTAATGAATGTTATCATTAAGGTAATAGGTAATGATAGACTTTTTAGAATAGTTAAAATATTCCAATTCATCTTCTTGAATACAGGATAACAAAATTAAATTATAGTTACAATGCATCCACTAATGGTGAGTGCAAGTAAAACTGTATTATATTGAATTGAAAATGAATTTGTAAGTTAAATTTCATTAAGCCAAAATTATGATGACATGATTGCAGTTACTACAAAAAAAAATTATAATGTTGGCAATCCTTCATCAACTCCATTAATTACACCTAATTAAAATACTCCTGTATGTTATTAACAATAAACACCAAAATAAAATCCTAAGAAACTTACTCCTATTGCAGTTAACATATTGAATGGAGTAAATGTAATTTTAAAAGCATTTATATATAATAATCCAGCAATCCAAGTAGCAGTACAATCACTACCATGATCCATTAACATTCCCAATGCTGTTGATTATTTTGTTCTTCTTGCTTGTTTACCATCAGCATTATCTAATGTTTGATATACAAAAATTGACCAGGCTATATATAAACTTGCCCATTATGGTAGATCTTGATCAAACATAGGATTTAAAATGAATATCAAAGCAAATGCAGTTAATAAATTACAGAATCCTGCTATTGTTATAAGATTTGGGGCAACTGTTTTAGGTAATTAATCAACCTAAAATGTATTAATAGTATCTTTACCACCCATTATGCCATATCTCCAAGAAACCAATTATATAAAATTGAAAGATTCTGTCCACTGTATTTAAACCTTCTCAAATTTTCATAATATTATGGATTCACATATTTTTTTAATAGCATTTTAATTAATCAATTAATACCATAAAATTAAATTAAATATCAATAATTTGTTATTTTTATTAACTAAAGCCTACTTTAAAAGAATTAGAATAACAAACTGATTTTATAAATGAGTTATTGATTTATAGTACTAATTTGAAATATGTAAATCATTTAATCATTAATTTTTCAATTTCTTCATAATGATTGTACATTTCCCAATAAGTTATGAATCCTTTTCCAAATAGATCAATTTCATGATAGAGACTAAATTAAAATAATATATATTTACATTTCTGCTTATATTCTATCATTCATCTAATTGATAAAACTGTCCATATTCACATTTCCATTAAGTTAATTATATAATTCCTTAATTGGATTTGGATGTACTTCTTTTTATAGACATGTTTCTTTTAAGGTTTGTCCTAAATCTTCTAAATTTATCCATCCATCTTCATCAGTATCTGCTAATTTAAACAATGAATCTAAATCTAATTATGCATTTGGGATTGCTATTTTAGCATTTTCCATTAGTTAATATAGATTCAATCTTTTAGTAAATCGATGATGAACTAAATATGTGAATAATTCTTCAGCAGTTACACCTCTAATTTCTAAACTCTTTACAAGTTAAGATGGTTCAGTTTTAAGAGTCGTTAAATTTTATTTTGACTATTCTTATTCAATTTATAATTATGATTCATAAACATTATCTTATTTTAAATGATAAGTAGGTTATTAAGGAGTGAGTATATTTTTCCAATCTGTAAATAAATTTTAATATTCTGTATTTGCTATTTATTTATAATTTAGACTTATTAATTTAGGAATCATGTAGGTCTCTTTTGAAACATAATGTTTATCTTATTGAATATATTACTATATTTCTGCTACATTATATTATAATATGCATTCACTTCTTTAATCACTTTAATTTAAAGGTGCTTATGAAACAATTGTTTAGAATTCCATTTTGACAGGAGTCAGATCATCAAAAAATGGATCAACAATTGAATTTGCTGTATTAAATACAATTTGTTATTCTTATGGTTTAACTTCTTATATTTCATCAAGTATCTTAAATTCATCATTTTCTTTATTTTCTATTTGACTATCCAATTTTTCATTCATCTTGAAGGAATCCATTTTTTTGTGTGATTAATCTTCTTTTTATTTCTTTCTGAAATCTAAATTAGATCTACTAGGTGATTTTATTGATGGATTTGAACTCATTGATGTATTCCATTCACATCTCTCCTTTGATTTTACTTTCCTTAAAATAATAGGAGCCCCTTGTATTTTTTCAGGTGATCCTTTTTTATCTTTAAGGAACTTTCTTAATTCTTATTGTAAATCATTTAGATCATTTCTTCTTTTATATTTAGCAACTAATTCAATGAGTCTCACATTTTCATCCTTTACCATTTACCTCAATTATAAACGATCCTCCTTCATTATTTCTACACAATTAAACAATTATTTATACATGTACATCTCTCAATCACTTATATTGTTTCCAATTATTCATTTTTTCTTGACTTATTCGAGATTTTGAGCATGTTTAACGGATAATTAATATATAAAAAAGCTAAATAAAAAATCAAACTATTGATATCTAATTCATATTATTTATATTTCCCTCTAAAACTCTATTATAATTGATCTTTTTTGTTATTTTGATCTCTTGATCCTTTATTTTCCTCAAATTCTATATTTTTTAATTAAACTTTTTGTTTACATAATTATCTTTATAAATTAAAGAAACAATTTTGTATTTGGGATAACATTTCTAATATTGTTGAATGATAACTAGTTATTAATTCCAATAAATCCTATTATTATAATGAATATAATTTTATAAGTACTCTCAATTCTTATTATAAATCTAAATTCATATTTCTAATGATTTGATTTAGTTATCTGATAAATATAATCATTTTGATTGTTTTATATCTCGCTAATATAATTTAATACTTTGAAATTTAGACTTTACCTTTTTAAATTAACACTTCTAATGAATTTATTTTGGTAATCCTAAAATATTTTAAGTGCACGATATGTAATAGCAATGGTTTATAATTTTTATTGCTTTTGTAATTTTGTGTAATTTTTGATGTAAGTTATATAATTCTAAATTCTAATATATATAGTTCTTTCAATTATATTTGTAAGCTATTTAATTTTATTTAAAATATTTTCTGGCATATTAATAAAATTTGTTAAACCATGAAGGTATTGATTATTTTTCCAAAGATTACTGATCAAAAATTGTATTTGAATTACTCGCAATTCTTCTTTAATTTAAAAAAATTAAGATATTAAATATAATTAGTATACATCAAAAAATAAAAAATATCTGAAATAATTCTAAATCATATGTGAGAGTTTTGAGCAAGAGACATATATCTAGTCAGATATGAATAATAAATAAATTAAGTGACTTATATTGTAAACATATATAATAAATTATTGTTTGAAAACAATCAACAATTATTAATTCTCTACTTCTTTTTAACTTTATTAAAACTATTATTCAAACTTTAACTTGTTTGCTGATATTATGGAGTCTAAAATATATCTAAAATGTATAAATAAAATAATAACCTCTATCAGATTTTTTAGTATCCTAAAAAAGAGATAAGACATCATTCTTTAGGAATAAAGGTTTATTGTTTATATCATTTTGTTATTATTAATAAGTATTAGTTTAGAATAAGTTCAAACTTGAAATTTAATTCGATGTTTATTACTATTAAGAAAAAAGATTTTAGAATTAAAAGCTTTACTATTATATCAATTATTATGGGTAATTCTATTACTATTAAAATAGATTATTCTATTAATTTGGCTACTATTAATAATTTAGTTATGCTATCTCAAAATCTTATTACTTACCTTAAATAATCTAATTAATCTAAGTTGGTGCTTATTCAATGATTTCCATTTATTTATTAGTTGAGTATTAGAGTATTTTTGCATTCCCAAAATTAATAGAATTTTATAATAAATTTTAAGTATTTTATTTATCTTAAGGTTTATTATTAATTATTTGTTAAGGTTATTATGTTGATATTTTAAATAAATCTATTATAGGTTAATTTTAATTTTAGGGTTAGCATTATTTATTTTGATTGGAAGTGGAAAAAGCTTGAAAATAAAGACTGATTTGATCAGAACTGATATTAGAACTTTATGTTAAAAATGGATTTTATTCTTTTATAGATTTATCTACTGTTTATTTGTTCTAATTATTCAAAAAGCTAGTTTATAGTATATTTTTTTAAATATCATTATTTTGTTATGGTAGAGAATTTTAAAATTTTGATGTTTTTTCAGACAAATAGTCCTATTATTCATTTTAAGATAATAAATTTTGATTCAAAAATTATTAATTTTCTAATTGTTATTCATTATTTATGTCTTATTGTTATGATATTTAGTTTTAAAGCTATATATTTGTATTGGTTTCTATATGACATTATTTTACTGCATGAAACTATTTATTATTTGAATTAGAATCTAATATTGAAGAGTTCTATATATTATTTTATTCATTATTTTCAGCTTCTTATTATTTATTCCCTTTTATTTATTTTTCAATTACATCAATTGTTTAAATTTGTTAATTTTCTTATTTAATATCCTTATCTTTTAGGTTATTATTATTTTCTTTTTTTATTATCATATTATTCTCTTATTAAAAATCAAACTAATTCTAATTTAATCCAATATTATTTACTTGATTTAAATTTTATATATAGGTTTCATTGGATTTTTAATTATTTTCAAATTCTTATTCTTAATTTTATTAAATAATCAAAGGTTTTTTATTTTAATCTATGTCTTTTTTATTTTCTTATGGTTCTTATTAAAAATAAACATTCTTAAAACTTAATATTGTTTCATTTCCCTCACCTTTTGAATTTGATCCAGTTGAGCTTGAAAATTTGTTATTTTTATTTAATTCATCCTTAAAATGATTATTATTTGATGGACTCTGAGCAGATGATGATGAGACTTTTAATTCCTTTAGAAATGAATCACATTTTAAGTTATTATTATCATCTTTTTAAATAATTGATTGATTCTCAAGTATTTTCACTGGAGATAAATAATCACTAGTTTCACCTTTTTATTTTATTGGTATACTACTCTCTGTAAAGCTATCAAATTATTTTAATCTCTTATTTGAGTAATTAAATTAATATTCAGATTATTTTTCATATTTTTGATTAAGATTTTACTTAAAATTTTGTTTATTCTGATTAAACTCTAACTATTTTGGATTTTCTAATGATATTATTTACAAATATTACCTTCCATTTTTCTACTTTTATAAATTTTTGAGTGTTCTTTTTTAAATTTCTTTTGTTTTTTAACATTTGATGTTTTGATCTAGGAATCATTTGGTTTACTACTCATATCAGTTTATGTTTCTTTAGATATTTTTTTATCAGAATCCATTTCCTCTTTTAGATATTATTCAAAGGGACAAATGGACTTACGTTTTAGTATTATAATATCATCTTTATTTGGTATAATTCGATCTATAAGAACAAGATTATTTTTAAATTAATTAGATAGTTCTTATTCTAAATTTTTATCGTCAAATGATTGTATCCGTTAGATTAAACTTTATGAGTTGATTGTTGGTTGAAATAAACCTTAAATCTTATTTTTTATTTTAGTTATGATGCCTGGTTTCATGTTTTTCTAGGAACCAAAAGGGTTATAACTTGAAATATTCTTTCTTCTATTTCCAAACAGAAATTTATGCATAATTAAATAAATAATATATTTAAATTAATAAGATAATCTAGATGACAAAATATTTAAATGTTTTAATATTAACTAGTATAATGATTCATAATATATTACTACAACTATTACAACTTATCTCCTTAAATTATAATTAAAACTTATTTATTTTTTCATCTAATCTTATTTCCATCATTTGTATAATATTTCAAACAAAATCTTATTTATTTGCTTATTTATTTTTAGATCTAAGATGATAATTACTAAAATCAGAATATTTTATTTTATGTAATTTTAATCATTTTACAATCAATTCTAATCAATTCTTAAACAAAGAATCAATCTAGTTCTTATAATTTATGTAGTTGTTTTAAAAAAAGCGCAATAAATTAAATTAGAGTTTTCCCTTTTTATGTTATAATTTATGGGAAGTTAAGAATTTTATTGATAAATAATTTATTAAATTTCAAATAAAACTACTTTTACTCTAAAACACTTTTAAAGTACTTATTTATTTTTATATTTAATTTTTTAGTTGCTATAAATTAAATAAAAAAGATGGTATTAACCATATTAAAAATATTAATCAAAAAAAAATATTTATTTAATAGTATAGATTGAAAAATTAGTTTATGAGTTTGTAAAAATAATATAGGAATACTCATATAAATTATTTTTGATTATAATATATAACTAAAAAGTAAATAATTTATTTTATATAATTGATTGATTTTAATATATTAAGTGATATTTGGTAATTTAATTAGGTAATTATTCTAAATATATAAGTAATCATTAATAATTAGAGATATAATTAAGTTTTAATATAAATATTTTTAGTTTTATACTAAAGGATTTTCATCAAAAATTTGATCAAAATTTTAAGACTTAAAAGATTTATTACCAAATATTGTAGAAATTATTATAGACAATTAATTAATAATAAGAATTAACATAATTCTTATTTAATTTTTAGTTTTTAACACACAAAATTACAGAAATAATAAAATGAAATATAAAATATATAATTTATCATGAGATTTATATTAAATTATTAAAATTAGATTACTAAAATTATTTTTGGAATTATTGATCTCATAATATTTTAAAAAATCAATCGTAAACAATATATGGTGTTTAGCTGAATATTCATTCTTAATTTATTAATTCTAACACCAATTTAGAAAGTGGAAGTAAAAATTTATCAATAATCATTAAGAATTTTAATTATTTTACTTTGTAGTATTGACATAATGAAATGAATCCAATTTGGAATTTGTATTATTATTAGATTGAAATAAAGACAAAATTTGTTTATACATAATGAGTACAAGACATTTCTCTAGGATTCCAACGAAAACAGCTTTGGCAAAAAAATTAAAATTAAATTTAATTACAATAAAAATTTAAAAATAAAATTTAACTTCAATGTTGGATTGGAGAATATGTTTGCCAAGAGTTATTAGTTATATTCATTATGATAAGATTATGTTTCAACAGTAGATTAGAGTATGATGTTATTTTATAATAATTAAGTAAAATATATATCTAAATAATGATGAAAACTTGAATTAATTGAGATTTATGTACAAGATAATTTTAAAAATAATTATCATAATTTTCTTTTCATTTATTAAGTTTTAAATGCCGAATATTAGTCAATTAATGTCCAAAATAATAGCAAAATACATGGAATATGATGATTCTGCTCTTTAATTACCTGAAAACTTAATTAACTTACTACTTATTCATGCATCCCTATTGAATATTTCATACATATATTATCAGAATTCATCTTCTTGGCTTTATACTTTAGTATTATTTGCTAGACCATCAGTTAGCATTTAGATTTCACATTTTTATATTTTTGGAATTTGTTATTTGCTATTACATGTACTATGTATAATAAAAGCTAAATTACTGGGTAAGAGTATAGTAAGTCTAATAAATAGTTTAATGAAGGTAGGGTTACTGAATTTTGTAATTGAATAGTTTGATGACATTTTTGGGTATATAATAGGAGGAATTATATTAGTAATATAATTGTTTGAGATCTTGTTTATTTAAGGAACATTAGATATAAATACAAAGAATTTTTAGCGTACTTAGATTACTTTTTTCAGCATCATAACATTAATTATTAATATACTGCTAATGACATTTTATAAATTAAATTTCCAGCTTAGACATATATAAATTGTTGCAATATTAAATTCAACAACATAAGCTTTGGATCTTATTTTAATAAAAAATTATAGAAGTCCAATAATTAGATTAACAATGATATCAATTTAATTGGTGAGTGTTTATGTTGGGATTATGCAATTTATTCATTTTGAGAATTCTTTCACTCTTATATTAGTACCTTTCTTTTTTAAAATAATATCATTATAAAGATTATCAGATTTAATTTATACAAAAGATTAAATAATTAATGCATCTATTTTAATATAAGATAAAAAATTTTATGAAAGTTTTATAATTCTAAATAAATTAAAGGATCAAAATTTCATTAGATAAATCAAAAGAAATTAAATGTTAAAAAAGTGTATTAATTCAATTAATTAAGAATTATAATAAAAAGTAGGAAGTTAATAATTATTAGGAGTTGCTTCAAAATTAATCTAAAATGATATTAAAAATATAAAGATTTAAAATAATTTATTAAAAATAATTTAATGGAAAATAAAATTATTATAAAATTGGAAGATTAATGAATTTGATGAGATTTATAAATTTGTTAATAGTATGTTAAAATTAAAGAAATAATTAGATAGTTATTATTTAGCTGAACCTAATAGTATGGTATAAGCTTTAATTTGTTTTTTTTATGCAGAAATCTTAAATGATTTATTAGAAGCAAATGAAATGATAATTCATGCTAAAAAATCAGCAGATATATACTTTATAGATTATACAACAAATAAAAATATGTTTTATATTACTACAAAATATGAAAATGGATAATTATAAATGAATAAAATATCAAGTAATGCTCCATCTTTTATATGTAATAAAAAATTATAAGAATTAATTCCTCCAGGTGTTCGTGAATGGCATAATAAATTAGTAGATGAATTTATAATAACAGGAAAATCTAAATTTGTAAGATAATTGAATTAAAATTATGTAACACATGGTTAATCAATTGACACTGTAGATTTTGCCATCGATTTAACCTACTCAGATTAAGTAAATTTTATTTGTCTAATATCTCCAACCTTAATTAAAAATGCTACTTTGATAGTTGATGATAAATATAATATTACTAGTTATACAAATCAATTTAAAGAGATTAAATAATATAAATTATTATTTTCTAAAGGATCATCTATATTTAATATTTTCCCATAAATTTAAGAAATAAAATAGACCTGTTTTCTAGAAAATGTTCTTATTAATACAAAAAAACTAATAAATTATAATGATGATTAAGATGATGTTAGATACTATTGTAATTTAGAAATAAATGTCAAACATCATTAAGATGTTATGATATATCTGATTGTAAAATTAGAAAACATATAAATTATATATTCAAATACTGGCAACTCTAGTAAAAAAGATACAATGACAATTCATTCTTCTTCTGCTAATGAATTAAGTATAGCAGAAGAAAGATATTTAATATCTAGATAGAATTCTAAATAAGATATTCCCATTTTTTAATAGAATGAAGAAATTAAAAGCTTAAAATAATTAAAAAGTCTTAATGAAAAGAAAAGTTTAAATGAAGAAACCATTAAAAATGTTTTAAATATTGATACACCTTAACCATAAGTATTTACATCTAGAGGAGATCCAGAATAACATCTATTAGTTGATAAAGTTAAAACTGAAAGTAAAAAGTAATCAGTTAAATCTCAAACATAAGGTGGAGATGGAAAAGAATCACAGTAACAATAATAAGATGTAAAAAAAGAAGAATTTTTTGATAGAGAAGATTGTTCTTAAGTTTCTTCTATAAGAATGCTTAGAAATTCTAAATTTTATAGGAAATATGATCTATATAATAAATTTAATAAACATATGCCTTTAAAAAGATAACATTAATTCTTAGTCATACTATTTGTATTAAGTTTAATTATTTAAGGATTATTCATAATTATTGTAATATATTAAAATAATATTTTAGCAATTAACAAGTTTAAATTTGGTGTCCTTTGCTATTGATATCAATTTATTAGAAATCAAAAACTTATTCTTCTAACCAATGGATATGTTTCTGGTTACTAGATGGAATTTATGGACTTATAATTTTTAAAAGTCTAACGGCATTATATCTCAAGAAGAATACAATTCAGTTTCAAAATTTGCGACTTCAAATTTAGGACTAGGATTTGATTCTCTTAATTCAAATTTAAAATTAGTATTGAATCGTTAAGAACTTCAAGGTTTACTACAAACTAAATATATAGAAGCTTATTCTTATCTTGATACATATAAATCAGAATAATATAATATGACACTAAGGACAGCGATATCTGTTTTATTAAATTTCTAATACATTTTGAAAATGAATTACATATATGAAAAAACGGTTAAAGCCGACAGTCCTTAAATCTTTTATAGTTTTAAAAATTATCCTATAATCAGAGATATTATGACTTAATTGAATTCAGATATAATGGAATAAACAATAGCAAGAGGATAAAATTTTGAAGATGAAATGGAAACTCTTTTTTTATTTCAGTAGATATTTTTGATATTAATGGTACTTTCTATTATCTATGCTAAAATTTATATAAATAAAAAACTAATATTGTTTTTACATTTGAGTTAATATTCTGATAATGATGCAATTTAACATGAGATTTAAAAGTTTAAGCAATTACTTGATAAATTATAATCAGATAATTCTTATAAATTTAATTATTCTCTTAAAATAGCAGATAAGGAATTTTAATTTTTGGAATAAAAAGTAGAGAAAGAGAATAAAAATACAAAAAATTTAAGGAAAAAAAGAATATCTCCTTATAGATTTGTATTTATTCTCATTTTATTTTATTCTATACTTACTATAAATAGTATAGTAAATTATTATGAATTTTAAAAGTATCTAAAAAAATATCCTGAAACAGCTTAATATAAAAAATAATTGGCTGATCTTGGTGGAGATATACCATTAATGTTTGCTTAAAGGGAAGTTCTTTATGGTAGAAAAAACTATATGTACTTAGATGCTACTTATTTCGATAGGATGTGGTATTATATTATGGAGTCTCTCAATAATACTAAATTATTTACATCATAAGATCCAGATTTTAATAAGTAATTTATAATAATCATATTTAAAGAATGCTTGTGACTAATAATTTTAAAGACTTTTATGCTTAAATTCAATTAAGTGATTTATGTGAATATTTACCAGGAGATATAAAGATTAGAGCAGTATCATTATGTCCAACTATAATGAATTAAAATATGAGACATGGACTTAAAGCGATGTTGATATATATTCAAAACTTAATTGAGACTGATGTTGCAATCAATAATTTTACTTACAGAGCAGTTCCAACTTAAAATGAATTAGAAGGAGCATTTATGATATCTGAAGTTATAAATGTAATGAATTCTTATTTTTATAATGATTTAATTGATGTTACAACCAAATTGGTGGATCAATAATAAGTAAATTATTCTATTATAATAGATTTTCAATATTTGTTATTTAGTTATACTTTTCGTGGTTTTATTGATTATAATAACTGAAGTTAAGAACAAAATATATGAAAATAGTAAGATCATAATACATTTTGTATATGTGATACCTTCCCAAACAATATTCACTGATGATACATTTGAAAGAACTCTTAGAACTTTAATCAATTTCTGATAATATTTCTATTCAAAATTTATCGTAACTTTTATTATATAATTAAAGAATATATTTTCTGATAAAATTATTATTTAAATGTTGAAGAATATTTTTAAAAGAAAATATAATAATAATGTTGTATAATTTAATACCAGGAAAACAATCTTATTTAGAAAAGGTTTAAAATGTTAAACAAGGGGACTATCTCTTATTTAAAGACGAACCTTATAAAATTCTCAAAGGTCAAGTTAAAATGAGTAGTCATGGAATTTGCGCTTATTTTAAAGTAGAACATGCATTTTCTAAATAAATCCTTGAAGATAAATTTCATTCTAATGGATATTTGGAAATTCCTGTGATTTAATTTGAGGAATATAATTTAGTTGGAATTAATGATGATGATTTTTTATCTTTACTAAAATCCAATGGNATACAAAAAATTTAAGGAAAAAAAGAATATCTCCTTATAGATTTGTATTTATTCTCATTTTATTTTATTCTATACTTACTATAAATAGTATAGTAAATTATTATGAATTTTAAAAGTATCTAAAAAAATATCCTGAAACAGCTTAATATAAAAAATAATTGGCTGATCTTGGTGGAGATATACCATTAATGTTTGCTTAAAGGGAAGTTCTTTATGGTAGAAAAAACTATATGTACTTAGATGCTACTTATTTCGATAGGATGTGGTATTATATTATGGAGTCTCTCAATAATACTAAATTATTTACATCATAAGATCCAGATTTTAATAAGTAATTTATAATAATCATATTTAAAGAATGCTTGTGACTAATAATTTTAAAGACTTTTATGCTTAAATTCAATTAAGTGATTTATGTGAATATTTACCAGGAGATATAAAGATTAGAGCAGTATCATTATGTCCAACTATAATGAATTAAAATATGAGACATGGACTTAAAGCGATGTTGATATATATTCAAAACTTAATTGAGACTGATGTTGCAATCAATAATTTTACTTACAGAGCAGTTCCAACTTAAAATGAATTAGAAGGAGCATTTATGATATCTGAAGTTATAAATGTAATGAATTCTTATTTTTATAATGATTTAATTGATGTTACAACCAAATTGGTGGATCAATAATAAGTAAATTATTCTATTATAATAGATTTTCAATATTTGTTATTTAGTTATACTTTTCGTGGTTTTATTGATTATAATAACTGAAGTTAAGAACAAAATATATGAAAATAGTAAGATCATAATACATTTTGTATATGTGATACCTTCCCAAACAATATTCACTGATGATACATTTGAAAGAACTCTTAGAACTTTAATCAATTTCTGATAATATTTCTATTCAAAATTTATCGTAACTTTTATTATATAATTAAAGAATATATTTTCTGATAAAATTATTATTTAAATGTTGAAGAATATTTTTAAAAGAAAATATAATAATAATGTTGTATAATTTAATACCAGGAAAACAATCTTATTTAGAAAAGGTTTAAAATGTTAAACAAGGGGACTATCTCTTATTTAAAGACGAACCTTATAAAATTCTCAAAGGTCAAGTTAAAATGAGTAGTCATGGAATTTGCGCTTATTTTAAAGTAGAACATGCATTTTCTAAATAAATCCTTGAAGATAAATTTCATTCTAATGGATATTTGGAAATTCCTGTGATTTAATTTGAGGAATATAATTTAGTTGGAATTAATGATGATGATTTTTTATCTTTACTAAAATCCAATGGTACTATAAGAGAAGACTTAAAGATGCCTATATATAAGGAGTTAAGTAACAAAATAAAAATGTGGTTTGAAGATGGAAAGTAAGATATATATTTGATTATATTTTAGAGTTATTATAGTATAGATTATGAAATATTTGGATAAAGAGGAGGTGTTTGATGCAAGATGTGATGAATGAATACTATTATATTTTTTAATAGAAATTATTTAAGAAAGTTAAATTATAATACAATTTCTAGAATTTTAAATGATGGTACTAAAAGCGTGTATGGTGGCAATTACATTATTCTTATCGTTCTGTTAGGATGATTCAGAATATGAAGGGAAAAGCAAACCTAAAAGACAAACTTATGAAGACCCAGTATCTGCAGTTATCTATTGAAAGGATCCATATAAAAATCTAATCCAATGGTTGAAAGATGGAAAGGCAGAGATTTCAAAGGTGTAAATTGAAGTAAAGAGTGAAGGTTATAGAACATTAAGAGCAACACAATTCATTAGATAAGGTGAATGGGTGTTGTTCATTCCACGAACTCACTATTTATCATTGGATGAAGTTAAAAAAAGTTGTTTGATTAATAGAAAGATGATTTAAATCAATTATAAACCAAATAACATTCAAACCTATTTTGTTAATCATTTATTACAAGAAAATAGGAGGTTTTTACTTAAAAATAAGTATTAGATAATATTCATTTTGGAAACCATATATTGATGTATTACCAAAAGATGTTAGTGGATTTCCTACTTATTTTGATGCCGAATAGGATGCATTATTAAAAGGTTCTCCAACATTGTTTACAGTGATAAATTAAAGGAAAGTATTTAAAGAGGAATATGAGAATTTAAAGGAAGCAGTTAAAGAGTTTTAAAAATATGGTTATACTTATAATGATTTTATTAAATTCAGAATACTAACAATATCTAGAAGTTTTACAGTATAAATAGGAGATAAAGAATAATAATAATTATTAGTTCCATTAGCAGGTATCCAATTTTGAAATTATTAAGATTTTCTTAATCATGATAATAATGGATTTTTATAATATGGATATTCTAAAGATGCAGATGGTTTTTTTATGTAAGCGGTTAGAAATATTTAGAAAGGGGAGGAATTATTTTATAATTATGGTTAATGGTCAAATAAATATTTTTTTATGAATTATGGATTTGCAAGTTTAACAAATCCAATGAATTAATTTGATTTTGATATTTGTTTGAATAAAAATGATAGATTATTCAATTTAAAGATATAATTAACTAAAGGAAATATGTGTTGGGGAAATAGATTAGTAAATGAAACTGATCATGATACATTTAGATAATCATTAGCTACTGTCAGATTTACATAAATATCAAAATTAGATGACTTTTTATAATTAGAAGAAGATGTTGAAAAATTTAAACAATTTTGGCCAGGATGGCATACTACTACAAAAACAATTGAATTAGAGAAGGCAACATTTAAAGCATTAAAAGAATTATTAGTAATTGAATTAGGAAATTTTGCAAGTACAATAGAAGATGATTAAAGAAGATTAAATGATCCAAAAACACCTGAGTTTAGAAAACATATAATAATGTTAACAATGAGAGAAAAATAAATAATAAAAAAAAATATAGATGTTTGTGATTAAATGTTATAAGTGATAGATAAAAATTCTGAAGTAAATATCCCTTATAATTATTATAAAGGAATTAAAGAATTTGATGAAATATTATCAATATAAAGAAATAACAAGATTTGTTAATAGCTAAATTATTCCTATGAAAATAGAATAAGAAGGCATAGCATGATAATAATAAATATAATATTGGTAGTGTATACATAATATCAATATTCTTAATCTGGTGCTTATAATTCATACTTCTAGAATCCTGGGAATAATAAATCATCTAAATCATCATCTAATTAAGATGTTTATTCTTATTTTTTCTTTTATATAACAGGAGGTTATATCACATATGGTTAAGGTTATTTATTTTGAGTAGTAGTCAAAAATGGTTAAGATTTGCGATCAGTAGAGAGTTTCTAAGCTTATTATTATTGATTTTGCAAATCTTTTGTTCTTTTATGTAATTCTTAAATATAATCTTTTTATCTTGTTTTTAACCTATCACTCATTATATCAACATTTTAGTCTTAATCAGATTTCTTCTTATCATCTAAAAAGAATTCTGTTTTAAATTCATTGAAATTTATTCGACTACAATGAACTCTAAAAATATTTAAATTATTACTTTGACATTCTATCTAAACAACCTTTTAAATCATATTATTCAAATTATCCTCCTAATTCATTCATATATACAACTAAATCTTATATAGTAATATAGCCTTTCATTCCAATATCTAATTATTTAAATAGAGCTAGTAGAATATCTTTGGTTCCAATAACTTCTTTTATAAAATTTAAGTTTCTCTCTAATTGTAATTGTAAATGCATAATTTCACATATCCATTCTCTTTGAGCCACTGAAAGAAACTAAGGAATATTCTATTTTAATGGATGATGCATATAATGCATAGCTCCAAATTGCATAAATTATTATTAATCATCTGGACCTAAAAGCATATACTTAAATTCAACTGAAGATATTTAATTATCATCATTGCCTCCATAACGTAGAAACATTTAACTCAATTCAATTGAATTTAAAATGATATCTAATTTCTACAACCCTAACTGAAATTCACTATAATCTATTGTTCCATTCTTTTTAGAATCAAAGAAATCAAAAAGTAATTTTACATTAAATCTCTAATCTTATTTCAACATCTTCTGTAATTTCCATATTTTCTTATCAATAATAGAACATTCAGCCATATATTTTGCAAATGCCACTTCCTCAAAATTTTAAGTAGATCTTGGTAAATTTTTAATGAACTATAGTACATATTCTTAATATCCATCATCACATCCTTGAATTAAATAATAAATGCTTACTTTCATGAGGCATAAATGGAATATTACTTGGATCGTTAGGATCAAAATATAATTATGGTTATCCCATTTTAACTGGATAAGAAGGATATTCATTATATGCTATTATTTAATTAATAATCATACTATAATTTAAAGGTCGTACATCATTCAAATATGTTCGATTATGTAGTTGACTTTAGTAAGGATCATAATATTAGTAATCTCCATAATCATCTTGAGTTTCTGTCAAAAATCCACTGTTTCTGTATGTTTTTTCATTATACTATCCATGAGTATATGGTTGTTAATATGGGTCAGGATTATGATAATACATAATATGAATAATTATAAATTATAAAAAGTCTTATTCAAAAAAGTCAATAAAGGTGTAATAGTTGAAGAACATCTTCTTGTTAGATCATTGATAGATAAATAATGTTATATTTTGAAAAGAACAGATATTAGCAAAATTAATGCAGAAAGATTAAAAGAAATTGAAAATCATCTAAAATAATTGATCAATATCAAACATCCAAGCTTAACTAAAATTAAAGAATATTTCATTGAATCTTAATATCTAATATAAGTCTTAGAATATTGTGGAGGTACTCAATCCTTAATAAATTAGAATAAATTTTAAATGAAAGATTAAACAAGTAAGTCTCTGTTAATTTAGTATGTTAATATTTACTTTAATTGTTATTTGCATTAAATTACTTAGAAATCCAATAGATTAATGTTTCATTAGATTTAGACACAATATTTTTAAATTCTTTTGGATCACTCAGAATATAATTTGATTTACTTTCTCATAAAAATTGGAAAGATGAAGTTAAATATCTTTAGCAAGTTCTAAAAAAAACTAATTTGGATTGGGAATCACAAAAATCACATGAATTGACTTAAATCCTTAAATCACTTATGTAACCTAATCCACCAAGTGTTTAATAAATGATTAATCATCCTTATTTATTGAAAGCTATGTTTGATTTTTGTAAATAATAAGATCTAGAAGCTTAAGCTTAATTAAATTAAGAAAAATTAATTAAAGAGCAAACCAATAATAAAAGAGTAGGTAGAGCATCTACTTCTGCTAATTAACATAGATAAAAAATAACATAATAATCTCCTACTTAAAGGAAGAATTCAAAGGATAGACCATAAACTAATTAATAATAAAAGAAGAAACCAGAACAATAAATAAAATAATAACCAATTAAAAATTAAATACCTCCTAGACCGATCAGATAAAGAAATAATTCTTAAGATATTGTGATTAATGAATCAATTTTAAATCAAGATTTACTGATGACTAAAGGTAAATAGGAATTGTAGGAATTATTAAAACTCTATAAAGACTAGCTTAAAGAAAGTAGTAAATAATATAATCCATGGCTTAATATGTCTGAAATTAAGGAAATCACTGAATATGATACAACTACTAACCTAAATCAACAGGCATGAAATTTATATTAAAAATTATATAATTATTTCAATATTTCAATTATAATTATGAAACTTATTATAATAAAAAATTATTTCTTAACTAAAATAAGAATAAAATTAAGTCAAATTCATAATCAAAATAGAAAGATAATCAAATATTTATCTATAGAGAGGTGTTATTATTTGATTTACGAGATTATATTTATAGAATTTACATCTAATAGAACTTATTTAATTTATAATATAAAATATTATGTTTATAATTCCACAATTATAAAATGGATTATAAACATAAAAAATGAATAAAGGAATGAATCGAGATTTGAATTAAATTTCCTATAGAAATAAATAGAATAAATAAATTTAATAACTAAAGAAGTCATATAAAAAAAGAGTTCAATAGTCAATCAATCATCATCATGATGATTATTCTGTTAAGGTTATATATTGCCCTTTTACATAACTGGTTATCTTTAAGGAGAAAAAATTGATAGTAATGCATATGCAGCAAATAGTGTAAACATAATGAATGCTAATCCTAATGTTGGTGACGTGTTGGATGATGTAGGGTTTTGATTTGCTATTGGAATAATCAAAATATTAATTACTCATGCTTCCATTTTCATTTAATTATCCATTCAAATTCGCTAATGATATGTATATTTGATTTGCATGATTAACAATTGATTCGCATAAATCGTTGTTCATTTCAAAAAAATAATAATAAATAATTTCTAGAAAACAGAACAGTTTTTATAGCATAAAATACGTAATAAAATTTATTAAATTATATTTTTATAATTATTTATCAAGCATTTATAAAAATATTGCTTAATATCTGATAAACACTTGGTTGAAGTTACATATTATTTCTAGAAATAAATTGAATCCTTTTATTAATTTAAAATTATCATAATGAGAAATAACCTTGATCTAGTTTCTTTAATTTGAATAATAAACATTTAAATAATATTTACTTAGGTTTTTATATGAATATTTGAGTAATTTTAGCTAAATTATTGCCATCTAATAATGTTCAAATATCTGGTTTATTTTCTAAATTACTTTTAATAATACTTGAAATTATTGAATTTATATTACATCATTTTCAATTATAAGAAATATAAATTAAGATCATTAAACATACTTATGAAATCGACTTTAATTTTTCTTTATCTTTTTTTAGATATTTTTCATGTCAAGAATTCTATTCTTTATGTCTTTACTATAATTTTCCTAAGAATCAAAGAATTCTAGTAATTAAGTGATCATCTTATAATTATTGTATGTAATATCATTAATTAAAAACAATCTTTAATGGAAGAGAAAGTGTACATATCAGAAGAAGGAATGAGATAATTGTTAAAAGATTTTGATGCCAAAGACCCACTAAAAAATGTCTTATGGACTACTAATTATAGAATGGAATTGCCAATTAGAGTAAAAAAATCTGGTCCAGGAAGTGAAATACCAATTACTCTTCCAGAATAATTTAAAAATGATTGCACTCAATTTGCCTAAAAGCCTGCTTTAAGTGTAAAGAGGAATAATAAATGGTAATGATGTGTTGAATAAAATAGGATTACTAGAACATATGAGGAATATTATAATGAATCAATGTAATTTGCAAAGGCTTTAATTGCTTATGGAGTAACAGAAATGAGTGCAGTAAATATAATAGGTTTTAATGCCCCTGAATGGCACATATCTTTTATGGGAAGCATTCATGCTCATAATTTACCTGTTGGAATTTATACTACGTAAGAGATAAAATTAATACGTATTTAGAAATAATCCAGATGCATGTTTTTATGTTTCAGATCATTCTGAATGTGAATTAGTAGTAGCAGATACTAAAGAATAATTACGAAAGTATTTGAAAATTTGGGATAAATTACCTCGATTAAAAGGAATTGTATTATATAATGATGATATTCCAACAACTGAAATCCCTGAATAAAGAAGATCATAAGTATTTAAATGGAAAGATTTTATTGAAATGGGCAAAAAAGCAGATTTGATGGGTTCAGTACTTGAAAGAGTATCAAAATTAAGACCTGGAAATTGTGTTACATTAATTTATACATCAGGAACAACAGGAAATCCAAAGGGAGTAATGTTATCACATGATAATTATGTGTTTACAATTACTTAATAAAAAAGGAAGTATGTAATGTAAGGTACTGGAGAAATGAGATTGGTAAGTTATTTACCTTTAAGTCATGTTGTAGCATAATTAATAGATATTATTGGTTTTGCTAGATGGGGAGCACATTTATTCTTTGCAAATCCAGATGCTCTCTCAGGATCTCTTATTAATACTCTTAAAGAGGTCAGACCTACTCTATTCTTTAGTGTACCAAGAGTATGGGAAAAGATTTATGATTAAATGTAATAAATAGCAAAATCAAATGGAGCTATAAAAACAAAGATAGCTAATTGGGCAAAATCAATTGGTAAAGAAGGTACTTTTGCATAAACTCATGGTCTTAAACCTCCTCTTTGTTTTGGATTGGCAGATAAATTAGTATACTCAAATGTTAAAAAAGCATTAGGATTAGATTAAGCTTAATATATGATATTTGGTGCAGCACCCTTATCTCCTATTATTAGAGAATATTTTTTAACTTTAAATATGTATTTAATCAATGGATATGGTATGAGTGAATGTGGAGGTGTCTAAAATATGGCAGATCCTTTTCATTTTGATAAATTTGATGAATTATTTATTAATAGTACAGGTAAACCTATGGAAGGAACTGAATTAAGAATAGATAATCCAGACAAAGATGGTAATGGAGAAATTTGTTATAGAGGCAGACATATATTTATGGGTTATTTTAAGGATGAAGAATCTACAAGAAATACAATTGATAGCAATAGATGGTTACATTCAGGAGATGTTGGTAAAATTGATAAGAATGGTAATTTGATGATAACAGGAAGAATTAAAGAATTAATAATTACAGCAGGAGGTGAGAATGTAGCACCAGTTTTAATTGAAGATGAAGTAAAAAAGAATATTAAGATTGTTTCAAATTGTATGGTTATTGGAGATAAGAGAAAATATTTATCCATTTTATTAACATTAAAACATTAATTAACACCTGATGGATAGTAATATTTATATTTTAATATTATATAGACCTACTGATAAACTAAATGAAGATGTAATTGCTGTATTTAAGAGTCTTGGTTCATCAGCCACTACAATTGAAGAAGCCATGAATGATAAAGCTATTACTAATTATATATAGTAATTGATTGATGAAACTAATACTAAGTAATCAATTATATTTATAATTTAAGAGTTATTTCTAAAGCTCAATATATTAGAAAATGGACTTTAATTCCTGGTGATTTTAGTGTAGATGGTGGAGAATTAACACCAACTTTAAAATTGAAAAGAAGAATAGTAGAATAAAAGTGGCTTGCTGAAATTGAGAAAATGTACTAAGATGCCAAGTTATGAAATTATTAATAAAATATAAATAAAAGTTAAATGGATCAACCAAAAATTATAGTTGCAGTCAGAAAGCGTCCATTATCTAAGAAAGAAAATAAAGAAGGTTAGAAGGATATTGTTGAAGTTCAGGGTAATACTGTTATTGTTCGAGAACCAAGGTATGATTAGTATAATCCTATTAGAATGAAAGTTGATTTAACTAAATTCATAGAAGAATTCAATTTTAATTTTGATGCTGCCTTTGACCAATAATACACAAATGAGGATTTGTATTAGTAACTTGTAAAACCTATGGTACAAGCAGCAATAAATGGAACTAAAATTACATTTTTTGCTTATGGTTAAACTGGATCTGGTAAAACATACACAATGTTGGGTGATTAAAATGTGGTAGGAATATATACTTTAGCAGCATATGATTTATTTTAAATGATACCAAATTCAATGGTATTGAGTGTTTCATTCTATGAAATTTATTGTTCTAAATTATTCGATTTGTTGAATGATCGTGTACAATTAATAGCTAGAGAGGATGCTAAAGGTTAAGTCAATATAACAGGTTTATCAGAGACAAAAGTACATAGTGTTTAGGAGTTTTAAAAAACTGTAGAAATGGGTATCAAAAGTAGAGTTACAGGATAAAATAGTGTTAATTAAGATTCATCTAGATCTCATGCAATTTTATAAATAAATTTGAGATAATAAAATAAAATCATTGGCAAATTGTCATTTATTGATTTAGCAGGTAGTGAAAGAGGTGCTGATGTTGTTGAATATCATAAATAAACTAGAATAGATGGAGCTGAAATTAATAAGTCATTATTAGCTTTGAAAGAGTGTATTAGAGCTCTTGATCTTAATAAAAATCATACACCCTTTAGAGGATCTAAATTAACTTAAGTTCTTAAGGATTCATTCACTGGAAATTGTAGAACTCTCATGATTGGTACTATATCTCCTTGTCATAAAGATGCAGAACATAGTCTCAACACTCTAAGATATGCAGATAGAGTAATTTTGATATCTAGCATTTAATTTAGGTTAAGGAATTGAAAGCTCCATAAGCATCAAATGGTGTGGATTAATTAACAAGAGAATTAATGTTACCAAGATAATATATAATGAATAATTACTTATTTGAAAGTCCTTAGGCTGTTAAATCTAATTCACCTCCTAAATTATTTGATCATGATAATGGAGATTAATATGAAGATGAAGTTTATATGAAACCAAGTAGAAATAATAATCTTAAAGATAAATATGATGAATTAATTTAATAAATATTAGATGAAGAAAGAGCTCTTAAAAAAGCTCATAGAGATCATATTGATGATTTAGTAGAATTGGTTAATGATGAAATGAAAATGTTATAAGCTGTAGATTAACCAAATTCTGATATTGAAGAATATGTTGATGGTCTTGATCATGTTTTAATGTTGAAAATTGAAAAGATCATGAGGTAAATTCATAATTTATTTATTATTTAGATTACGTAAGAAATTACAATAATTCAAATAGCATTTGATGGATGAATAAGATTTAGCCCATTAATGTTAGACTCATTTCTATCAGAAACCACACTAAAACTGATTATATAATTATATTTATTATAAATTAGATGGAAAATAACTAAGAACCAGAACCTCCAAGTCATTTCTAAATTTGGTAGTCTATTTTTTCTATTTATAATAGGCTAACATTTATTGAAATGGTAGCTGTGTTAGTTTGCCTTGCTAATAACATGGACAAATTACATAGTATGAAAAATAAGAATCTGAAATTTTGGTTTCTGGTGAGTATGAATGCATCGAGTGCATTCAGGGGTATAAGTCTCCTTCTAATAATGGAATAGCCATAAGGCATATGGTTAGACTTTCTATACACAGCACCAATCCTATTTTGGATCCAATCTTATATCATATTCATTGGACATCTAGCCATTTGCATAAGTGTACTAGCTAATAAGGATACTAATATCATTCAGTACTCCATATACTATAGCCCTGTTTGTCTAGGTAAGTTGTTTATAGACCCTTAGTCTTATCTTATGTTTACTTTTTACTTAAGGATGGATTCTTGGAAAGAGTGTTAATTCTGTAATTTTTACTCTATGCCGCACTTATTATTGGATGTTTATACTTTAGCAATAAGTTATTTTCTGATGTACTAAAACTTAACTATAGCAGCTAGAAGATGATGATTGGATCGTACCTTTCCTTACATAAGTCAATAAATTGATCTAAACTATATCAATAAGTTTGGCACTTAGATTACTTATTTTTTTTCTAATCTTTGCAAATTATGTTTAATTGAACATAGATTTAATTCTTATAGTATTTTTCCTAATTCAATTAAAATTTAGGAAGTATTTATTGGAGAATTAGTTCCATATTATGCTTTGACATTTTTCAAAATACCTCCTCCTCGGCATGACAATGATTCCAGAGCAGGAACCTAGTTGGAATTACAAAATTTAGAAGGGCCACTATTGAAATGACAAATATCATAATTTATAGTTAGTTTAAAATATTCATAATTTATTAGTCTTTATTCTCATAAAAACTAATATATTTAAATTAAATTGAATTATTTATAAGTTGCATGTGGATTATACTAAAAATGTGATATAATTATATTATATTTGAATTAGTTAATTAAAGAGATTCAATATATATATATTCAATATAAGATTATCTTATTCATCAGATTATTATTAAAATTCTAAATCACTATCTAATTAAAATAACCAAATATATCTTATTTTGACCAATCAAGAGTATTAATTAACATTATGAAGTAATTTAAATTTCACACATAAACAAATTAACGATATTTATAATTATAATATTTGAAATCAAAATGTCAACCACAACTACTCAAACAACTTCAAAAAATGAATTAGTTAAGTGGATAAATGAAACCTTTAAAGTAATCAATTAAATATCTATAAAATTAGTTAACAATTACATAACTAGAAACACTAGGAACAGGTAGTACATTTTGTTAAATATTTGAATATTTATATCCAAATACAATATAAGGAAATAAAATCATTTGGAAAGCTAATAAAGAGAATGATTATATCAAGAATTTCAAGACCTTAGCAGATGCTTTTACAAAACTCAATATTTAAAAATAATTAGATGTATACTGTTTTTATTATTTTAGATCTAATCACTTTCAAAGGCTAAGTATTAAGACATTTTAGATTTGGCATAATTCTTGAAATAAAAATTTGATAAATAAACAGAAAAAAGAGAAAATTATGATCCAATTGAATTTAGAAAAGTAGAGGAAAGAAAAGTGTTTACTCCAACTAATAGAAAAACTTTATCAACTTTAAAAGATAAGACAAATAATGAAAACACAACTACATCTACTCATTCTTTATTAGTTAAAAGACCACTTTCAAAAACCTCCTCTTGGAAAACTACAAAACCAACATTAACTAAAACACCTGAACTTAGTTCTATAACAGAAATTATCAATAATACAGAAGATGATGAGGCAACTAAAGTTAAAAAGATCAAAACACTATTCATTTGAATTAAAATTAAATATATATACAATCATAAGTTCGATATTAAATTATTATAATAATATAAATTTATTAATGCTAAAAATTAAATAAATATATATATTTTATAATGATTTCATAAATATATTTATTTAATTAATAAGGAATTAATTATTAAATGCATCTCTTATTTTTTATACTTTCTTCAGTAATATTATTAATATATAAATTGTAGTTTTGGGTCATAATAAATTTTAAAAACATCTCATATTTCTATAAATATTATATAGAATAAAAATATCAATAATTGATATAATTGTAAATATATTTATTTTAAATCATTGTTTATGTTTCTTAGAGTGATTCTCAACTAAATCATAAGCTTATTAGACAGTTTTAATTTCAGAAATTCTAAATTATATAATTTAATAATTATTACCTTTTACCCTTTCTAACAGCATAAGCAGCATCATATTATTCTTTGTATTCTCTAGTTTAGATGAGTAATTATTCAGTGAGACTTAGATCTCTATTTATGATAGTTAATCTTTTTTCCAAAAGAACCTTAAATACTTAAATTATACAATACCTTATCATTAGTTCTTTTTTTGATCAATTAGGAAGTAACTTCAAAATCTTTAGAAAATCTTTCTCTCAATTCAGCAATTTCTTAAAGAACAGTTTAAAATGTTATCTTTATTATAAATTTAAAAATACTTGACTTTATGTTTCTTATTCATCTTCTTATTACATTAAAGCAATGACAGCATTTCTAATATGTTCCAATTTATCTATAATTCTTTTAACAGTTGGAACATCGAATTTTGTTGTCAATGCAACCATAATAGCAATTGGATGATTATGTCCTAAATCTCTTTTGATCTTTTCAACAATTTCAAATTATTCTGTTTACAATAATGATTTTCCATCTTAATCAAAAACAGCCACTTATAATTTAGGAATAATTTCATTCAAGGCAGCCAATACTTTGTTATTATTTTCTTGTCTAGCTTAATAAGATGCAGCTTCTTATGCTCTTGTTTATCTTAATTATTCTTCTTTTCCATTAAGAATATTTAATTATTCAGTAAGTGCATCTAATTATTATTGTAAACCAACAAGAATTTAATTCAATTCACTTAATTAATTATTTTTATCTTGTCTTTCCTTTGTAAGGTTTCTTAATACAATAATCAACCATTCAATGTCTAATCCTAGAGTAGTTGTTCTCTAATATTATTAATCTCTCTAAAATTACATGGGCATATTCAAGATCATCATTAAGTTAGTCTCTCTTCATTTACTCTAATAAATCTCCAACCAATGAAACAACTTCAGAAACCTTTCCTCCTTAACTGAGTTCTAAATCAAGTAAAAATGTAAATTCAGTATGTTCTGTTTTTATTGCTTTAATTTCCTTAAGCAAAATTGGGACACCTGATTCCAATTCTACTGCAGTGATTCCAAATATTAACAATCCTAATATGAGTACAGGTTTCATTATATTATTAATAATTAATAAAAACGGAATTTAATCATATAAATAATAAGAAAAGTGTTATCATTTCACATCTCCCAAAACCTTTTCACATAAAGGACATTGATGTACTTATCTTTTACAACAATCCATACAAAATGGTATTAAACAACAACTAATAATTAAATAAATCATTTAAATAATACCCACAAAATAATCCAAAAACACACATTGTTAAACATAAACTAAAAGAAAGAAATCCAGAAACATAAGTTAACTTTGTTTAAATCATACCTGCACATTCAGGACATCTAACATTTAAAGAATAAGGAGGTAGATTCTCTTTATCAAGTTCTCCTATTCAATAAATTTTAAAATATACCAAAACTTCTATATTATAAACTACTTGGATATTGAGTATTTGGAATTGCAGGTATATATTAGGGAATATTGCCATATTGAACCATATTAATTTAATTATTCTACTATTAAGTTGCTTGTATTGATTATCCTACATATATTTGTTACAAATTTTCATCAGGAGGAGGATAACTATTTTGTTTGATTTGATTGTTACTTATAATTACTAGCAGGTTTATCAAGATCAGGATATTGAATCATAAATAATTATTATTTATCTAATAATCAAGTTTGTTTATTATTTTATTTTATAATAAAACTTTTCTCTCATATTCTTAAAAGATTAATTTCAATATAGAAATATTTATAGAAGACATTAAGTTGTATACTTTCTCAATTGCTTCAGTTAAAGAGGAATTTGTCTTTCAAATTCAATTAATACTATCTAATCTTATAAAGTGTATAATTAGCAATAATATTAAATATGAATTCAAATTTATGTCAAAAATCTCTTAAACAATGATGTGAATAAACTTTTGATCTTTTTATTTGTCATTGTATAAGTAAGAATAACTGATCAATAAAATATAAGAATAATTTAAATATTTGATTTTATAGGATTTCCTTTCCTAAATATTATATTATTTATAAATGAGTGAAAATCAATAAGATGATCAAATTAGCCCTTTGGATTTCGGAAAATACCATACAGAACCATAGAGAGATCATCGAGAGATAAAATATATGCCAACAAAACTTAGTGAGCCAAGAGGGAGTCAATAGTATCCCTAACATGTTGGTGTTGTTATAGAAGATGATACAACCTCAAATAATGATTCTAGGTGGTATGCTAAGAATAATCAATATAAATTGCTTATTGGAAATGAGAGAACTGGCTTTGTTAAAAAAGTAAAAAATTTTAAATTAATAGGTCTATTCAATAATGATAATTTAATTGCTTATAACTATGATAATGTGTGTAATATCATATTTCTCAATTGAATATAGAATGTTCTAGTTATAGCATAGTGGTTATGCATATTTGGCTTTAGGAATTGCAATCTTCATAGAATTATTACTCTTTTGCATACCTAAATTTGCTTGGAGAGTACCCTATAATTATATTCTTTTGATGATCTTCACTATTTGTGAAGGATATATGATTTCTAATTTATGCAGTTATGTATTTGACAAATATAGTTAAAATGGTGGTAAATTGATTTTCTTTATTTAAGGTTATATTGTATTGATGGCTGCCAGTTTATCTTTAGCAGCAGTATTAGGATTAACTTTTTATGCTTGCAAGACAAAATCTGATTTTACAACAAAAGGAGCTTTACTGTTTATGTGTACTACTTCTTTATTATTGTTTGGGATAATGGCAGGAGTATATTACTAAAATGTTATTAATCTTATCTACTCATTGATATGTAGTCTCCTTTTTGGAGCTTATTTAATTTATGATACACAATTAATTTTAGGTGGAAGTGTAATATATAAATATCATAATATAGACACATAAATTATCTATTGATGATTATATAATAGGATCTATGATTATTTACATTGATATTGTCTACTTATTTGCACACATTTTAATTGTATTGATAGCATGTCTTAGATGATAATTTATTTGTTTTTAAATTTACATAAATATATTTAATTATTCATCTTCTATAAGGAGCCAAACTACTTCTTCTAACCTCTTCTACTTCTTTTTCTTTTTCTTAAACTCTAGCTCTCAAACTTTCAATTTCTGCTGATTGCATCTAAATTTAGAATCATAATATTACTACAAAGTGAAATAAAAGATCTTAAATTTTTCTTGTTTAAGCTCCACCATCTGCATATTATAGTCTCCATTATTTGAGTTCAGTTTCATTAGCATCAATGATTCCTTATAATCTATCAATTTCATTAGACAAAACTCTAATCTAAAGACATATAATAATTTATTTACATTTTCTTCATATTATTTTAACTAAATGATTTATTATTCTAATTAATAACATTTCTTCTTTAATTAATCAATTTCATCTTATCTATTCATTAATAATTAATTTAATCTTTCTATTTCTGTAGATAACATAGCACATCTATTCTCTAATTCAATATATTTAGATTTATATAATTCTAAAGAATT